GGGTGGGTGGGTGGGGAAAAGCTACCTCCTCCTGTCCTAGGAACAGGTTTCTCTGGTCTTCAGCTCTTTCCTTTGCCCTGGAGAGGCTACCATGCCTCAACTGTTTCTGTGGGTCAGTCTTCCCTGGGCACAGTTACCCAAGGCTGGATCCCCTGGTGCCACCATTCCGCTGGCCTCAGGGGTCAGAGAGCAGCTGTCCAGCATTTCAGTTCACTCAAACAATCCAATTTTTTAAAAGAATTATTTTACTTAACTTTATTTATTTATTCACTTATTTAAATTTGACCAGAAAGGGACAGAATGAGAGAGAGAGACAGGGAAAATGAGAAAGCAAGCTGCCAGGTCCGAGACTCGAACCACAGTTGGTCATGTGGGAGTCCAGCACCCCTAATGATGCTATCTGCTGGCCCTCAATTTTTTTTTTTTTTTTAAAGCTACAACAGTCATCTCATTTTCAAATTCTGACTCTGCCACTTAGTAATTGTTTCTCCTTGGGCAAGTTACATAACCCGGCTATGCCTCAGTTTCCTCATCTGAAAGATGAGATCGAGATAAAACTTCTTGGGTCAGCCAAGTGGCATGGAAGTTAAGGTAGCTGAATCCCACATAGCTGATTTCATTGTTCGAGTCCTGGACCCAGCGGCTTGAAAAACATGCTGGGCGTGTGTGAGTGTGTTTCAAACATCTTGAGAGGAGAATGGAGGAGAAGGGATTGCAGCATGGCCATCTCCCTGAGGGGTGCTTCCTCAACACCCCCCTACATCTCTCTCTAGCAAATGACATGCCCTATGGTAAATACAAAAGTAAAATAAAATGTAAAAAGACAACATTTCTTGTGAAGAGGATTAAAATGAATTGCTACATCAAGTGGACCTAGAGTAATGCCTGAGCCTTATAAGCATTCAGTAGATGGTAGCTGGAACCACTATGAGCATGGCATGGTAGCCACCGTCTTTGATAACGCTTGCCAAACCTACTGAGAAAAGGTAGCTCTGTGTTCACATAGGAGAGAGGGTTTCCGTGCTGGGCTGCAGGGAGCAGGCTCTGTACCTGCATTGCCTTTGAGAGGGACTGTGATCAGAACTGAGCCACGAGTTTCCCTCTGGCTTAGGAAATCCTCAGCAAACGTTCATGCAGCGCCCTCTATGTATCTTCCATGCACCAGGCGCTGGGAATGCAAATGAGACCCCAATGTCCGTTGGCTCGAGCTCCGTTATCGTCACGGCCACAGTGACACCCCATGTGCTCCCAGGTTCTTCCAAGGCAACAGCATCCCTGCAGCAGCAGTCCCCACCCGGAGCCCACCCTTCCCAGTCCCTCCTGCCCAGGCCACGCTGGTCCTGGCCCAAGGGCCCAGCCGAGAATGCTGGAGGGAGGGGACAGCATGGCCTCTTATGAAAAGATACTGCCTGAGCCCAGGGTCCCTGCCGTGGGTGCCTCAGAGCCATTGGTTTTCCTCCCAGAGAGGTAAGAACCCCTTCCATCAATACCAGGGATTTGTGAACTTTCCTTGCTAAGAGTCAGATAGTAAATATTTTTGGCTTTGTGGGTCACACACTCTCGAAGGCAACTACTCAGCTCTGCAATTATAATGCAAGCAGCCACAGATGGTATGACCGTCAATGTGTACGTCTGTGTTCAATAGACCTTTACTTACCAAAGCAGCAGATTTGGCCCAGGGGTTCTGTTAGGTTGGCAGAAAAGTCATGACGCGTTTTTGCATAGAAAAATATAAAGAAAAAGTCATGAGTTTTCTGACAACCCAATAATTTGCAGATGGCCAATCTGTTGTTTGTGCTCAGTGTGTTATAAAGTTCCCTGTGAACAATTTGGCTAGTTTTTAACACCCGGCCCTACTCAGAGGAGCTCACACCCAGTCCCAGGGTCTGGACAGGGAGGGAGTGGAATATTGTTTCCTCTGTGTTCTGGCCATGCTCAAGCATTCCCTTTCCTGCTGCATCTCCCAGTCAAAGCCCCTTCTTCCTCCCCCCTCTGAAGGCATTTAACAGACGCAAACAGAAAACCAGAGGACACGTGGGATGGCGGAGGGACGGCCGATGAAGCAGCAGCTCCTCGAATCTTTCAAACTGCAAGCTGCTACTCATCAGCATATTATAAATTCATTTGGGCGCACTATGATAAACATTAGGAAGTAATAGAGAATAAACTAGAAAACAAATTCCCAGAGAGCAGCCCTTCCTGCCATGGTACCATGTGAAGTTTGTTCCCGTTGTTCAAACACCGGTCTCTATGCACAGACCCATCTAGCTGCCTACCTGCACACCCATGTATGCACACACATACATGTTCGTTACTGGGTCACGAGATAACACGTATTTACTGCCAAAGGTGTGATTAAAAAAAAAAAAAGACAACCACTGGAGTATACTCCAGGCTTCTGGTATTCTTCTATAATAGCCAACATTTTTTTTTTTGCACACAAAGATGGGAGCCCTGTTCTTAACTCTGAGTCATGGGGGGAAATTGACATGCCAACAGTTAAAACACAGCAAGAGAGACTGGTAGATAGCATAGCGGTTATGTCACTGGACTCTCACATGGCTGGTAGTGGTTTGAGTCCCGGACCCAGGAGGCATGAAAATCATGCCAGGCATGTATGCATGTGTGCCCAAGATCCCAGGAGGAGAATGGAAGAGAAGGGATTGCAACATGGCCATCCTCCCAGAGGGTGATTTCTCATTTTCCCTCTCACTGTATCTGTCTCTCTCTGGTGAGTGCATGCACCTTAAGGGAAAAGCCTCTAAAATAAATAAATAAATAAATAAATAAATAAATAAAACAGTGAGATAAAGGCTCTGAGATGAAGCATGGGGTGCTGCAGGTGGGAGTGGCAAGAAAGGTGGCATTTGCTCTGGGTCTTGCAGGCTGAATAGGGGCATGTTTGGCAGCCAGGAAGAAAAGGACAACCTGGGCGCAGTGTGTACAAAGGCATGAAATGCCTCCTCTTCCCACAGCAGAGTCCTCTCAGGTTTGGTCTTTGAGAAAAGAAGCAAACATGTGGCTTCTGGTCTTCCGTTTGCTTTCCCTAAAATCAAACAGAACAACCAAGTCAAAAGCAAACAGAGTGAGGGTCACTCTGGCCCTAACTTGTAAATCTCTTTGACCATTGACCCGGCTCAGATTTTTTAAGATCTACTTTCTGGGGAAGTGTTCAACAGTTTCACCCCAAGTAAATTTTATGATGCAAGAAACTGTAAGTCCGTGTGTAATGTGAGAGCAACTGAGGAGAAGAAAGCTATTAAAAACGTCCTTAACCCATTTGGTGTCATGCAGCCCAGCTTTTGGCATTCTCATCATCTGGCCGTCAAGAGTAATACCAGGAGATGGCCATGATAGGGCTTGTGGGGCTGGGCTCTAAAGGCTACAGCTGCCCAACTCAGAGACTGCAAGGGGACCAGTAATCTTAGAGTGGGTGGAGGAGGTGGAAAAGCTCAGGACTGAACAGGAAACACGCGCAAATCTCAGCTTGATCACTGTGTGTATGAGAACAGCTGACCGCTTTCTTAGGCTCGTTGGGGGGGCCTCTCTGTGAAACAAGGGCGATGGTTTTCTCAGGAATGGATGGAGACCAAATGAAGTAGCTGCAGAGGTGTTATGTACCCTGCTGGGTGGTAGATTTTAGGTAACTTGGACAGAAAGACAGGCACCCCCAACAGGATCCCTGTGCTGGATGCATTCCCAGCCTGGAGTAGCCTCAAACTGTGGGCCCGCATGTGCCCAGCACGTAGAGGAAGGTCTCCAGATACAAACCCCAAATCCACCAGCCTTGAATCCTGTCTCCTTCACAGCCATCCTCTCATTCACCAGCATCCGAGACATCTCTGTGACGTTATGCACTGGGTGGCATGCTGAGGATCCAACATTGAGATGACACAGCTCTGGCTTATGAGACTTGTGTCCTTGTGACGGAGACCAGAAGAAATGTACGCTTACACAGAGAGCCTGGGTGAGAGCACTTTGGTTCTCAAGTCAGCCAGTCAGGATTTCTTTGCCCTCTTGGACAGAGCAAACCAAAGAGGAAGCAGGCCTTTTTAGAGAGTGGTACCTCCCTAGGCCAGCAGGTGGCGTAGTGGCTAGGCGGGACTCCCACCTGGCTGACTTCCGTTTCAGTCCAGGACTTGGCGGCTTGTCCAGCACGAGGGCCCGCGTACCCCAAATTCCAGGAGGTGAATGGAGGAGAAGGGATTGCAGCATGGCCGTATCCCCGTGGGGTCATTTCTCACCCTGTCTCTCTCTGTGTCTCCAGCGAGCACACGTACCTTATCGAAAAAATCCCTCTGCAAAAACAAAAAGGAACCAGAGCAGTACCTTCCCATATACAGACCAGCTTCACACACAGTCGCGTTCTAGATAAAATGTTTAAGGAAGATGATCTCAAAGAAAACTTCATCGTAAGTGGAGTCCTAGGAGCTCTGGCTTCACATGTTCCAGTGGAATAGGTGATTTCAACTGAGTCCGCCCTTCTCTCCTCCTTGCTGGCCTCAGTTTCCGCACTGAGTGGAAATACTTTCCTTGGCATCGGAACCGCGGGCTTTGGACCCCGATTGCCAGCAGAGGGCGCGCGTGGCTCTTGTTGAAGCCCTTCATTCCCGGATTTGCCCAGTTACACAAGAAGGAATTTAAATTGAGTTAAACCTTTCAAAACGCGAAGTCTCTCCCTCGTATTTCCTTTTGTGCAGTCTACTTATGAGGCTGCTAGGGAATGAGGATGAAGCATTCAGCACATTTTCCTCCAATAAAAAAAATAAGTATCATTCTTCTTATAGATACATACAT